CGTGACCCTAGAAATTAGGAAACGTGGATGAGTTATACGCGGCGGAAGGATTAAACTAAAACGCATGCATCTTTCTCCACCTTTTCCAGAGTAAACTATCCGAATGCTAATCTCTTCTTCTTACTCGATTATAAATACCACGTAACGCTGTATCAAACTACATCGTTCAACTCTGCTAAATCAGTTTTCTCTGTTTCACTTTCATGGCGTCCAATGACCTTTCTGGCATCCTCCCTCGCGTCGTTATCGTCTCCAGGCGTAGCGTTCGCAAGAACAAATTCGTAGATTTTGTGGGTACGTACGCAATTCTCTGTAAATGCATATTTTTCAAAGTTCAAATCTTTGGGCTCAAGGTTTCGTTTTTTATTGTTTCAGGTGAATATCATCTTGATCTTATTGTTGCATATGGAGCAGTACCCGTGATTGTACCTAGAGTGAGTGGGTTGCATATGCTGTTGAATAGTTTCGAGCCGATTCATGGGGTGCTCCTCTGTGAAGGGGAAGACATTGATCCTTCTCTGTCTGATTCGGAGACATCCGGTCTTTCACCGGAGGAATTGGACGAAATCAGGAAATTGCATGCCAGCGATACCGCCATTGATACAGAAAAGGATTCAATTGAGTTGAGGCTTGCAAAACTCTGCCTGGAAAGGAACATTCCCTACCTGGGAATTTGCAGGGGGTCCCAGGTTCTAAATGTTGCATGTAGGGGGACCCTTTATCAAGATATTGGGAAAGAATTGTCAAAGAAATTGCCAGAGAATCAGAGAATAATGCACATTAATTATGATAATTATGATGGGCATAGGCATATGGTGAAAGTGGTAAAGAATACCCCTTTGCATAGATGGTTTAAGGATTCATTAGAGGAAGAGAAAATGGATATTTTGGTTAATAGTTATCACCATCAAGGTGTTAAGAGATTACCCCAACGTTTTGTACCAATGGCTTTTGCACCGGATGGTCTTATTGAAGGGTTCTATGATCCAGATGCTTATAACCCAGAAGAGGGTAAGTTTATCATGGGACTCCAATTTCATCCCGAGAGAATGAGGCGGCCAGACTCTGATGAGTTTGATTATCCAGGATGTCCATCTGCTTATCAGGTATTATAATGATCCTTTTGATAGCTTGAAAAGATACTGTTTTGATTTGATAAATTGCTGAGTATGCTGTTGATTCGTGAATTTTGATAGCTTATAATGATCTATTTTTGCAGGAATTTGTTAAAGCAGTAATTGTTTATCAGAAGAAGCTTAAAAGCACAACATCTGTGCCAAAGCCTCTAAAGCTCAATCAAGAAATGGAGAAGAAAAGAAAAATTATCGTTAGAAGCTTCTCACTTGCCAGAAACTTGTACTCCACAGGTTCTGATATAAATCCTTCTAAGGAATCTGAACTTCAAGCTGGAGCAGAATTTCTTGAGGTGCAAAATTAAGACAGAAACTTAGACTGAAGTGTTTAGTATTAAACATTTCTCCAAGTTATTAATCAGGTTCCTTCCTTGTTTGCAGTCAAATACAGCTTTGAGTATTCAACAAGAGAAGAGATTGAAGCAGATGGGTGCAACAGTGAGGAATGCAGGTTCTTATATTGAGAGATTGAAACAGAATGAGGAGAGGGAAAGATTGGCAAGAAATATTATGGGAAAAAAATCGGCAGAGCAGTTGGTTGATCTATTGTCTTTCTACCATATGATGGGGAAGATATGTTCAGAAGTGCTAGAAAAGAAACTTCATGGCATTGTCAATGACCTTGGCTCTTGACTATCCTCTCCATGATGTTTGGATGGCATCCTTCCCCTTAACAAAGGGACAGGTCTCCAAAGTACTCACATGAAACTTGGGTGATGGATCCCTGTCCTTCCTCTGTATTGTCTCTAATGTTATTTTTAATTGTAGTGGATAAAGAAATTGAACTCAGAGTGTACTGTTTTGCACTCTAGCCTTCTATGGATACTGAAAAGAATGTTAAATGTATATCTAGCCATCTTGGCACTCTGGTACAAATCATTAAAGTCTGCAGCTTCACCTCTCTTTGGCCTGTTAGTTAGGTCTCTCTATGGTCAATGATTTTACTTAAACCGTTAAATATAAGTGTTTAGTAAATTTATATATTTTGAAGCCACTACAAATAAAGTATTTGGTAAAATTTTTATTTAACGGTTTGAGACTAACGGATAACGGTTAGGATCCAAACCGTTAGTAGATTGAAAAAGCTAATTTTTTTAACTTTTTGTACCAAACTACTAGCGGATTAAAATTTTTTAATTTTATTGATAAATTTATCTATTTTAATTTTTTATCACATTTTTAATTAATAATTATCTAATAAATTTCAATTTTGTTTTTTTACTTTTGACAACATTAAGTGATTATAATATTTTTTTTGCACATTAATTTATAATTAAAAAATATATTATCTTAAAAAACAAAATTTGTTAATTAGACAAAATAATTAATTTTT